AATAAGAAAGTTGTGGCTACAGCAATGTACTATTTATTAAGTAGGGATGGGGTTACAAAACATTCGCGCCTGTAAAATGGTGTCACTAACCACAAAAACTCCTGTGCTAAGCAATGAAGACCCAGCTCATTATGCTTCCAAAAAGAGTGTCTTTAAATTCTTTACCGATTTATTTTAGCTGCCTCTTTATTTAAAGATGTTACACACCTAAGTTGGTGGTCTTCTCAGCCCAGTCCCCAGACAGCGTTTTTGGTTTGCTGGGTAATGATGGCTCAAAGTCTGACTTTGGTCGTGTGTGTGGCACCTCCCCATTATGCCTGTGGAGAAATAAAGTACGGTATTGAATTAATTAATTTACTTCCTGGTAGAGCAATATTAGTTAAAAAAAAAAAAGCTAGATTAGAAACAAAGATACATCTGTCATATGCTGAGAATCACTCACTTAGCTACTGGAGATGGAGCAAGAGGTTTTTCAGGTCGTTTTGGCTGCAGTGCCACTGGACGCAGCAGTCCTTTTCCCGGAGGAGGAACAGGCTTTTTAGGGGGCACAATGGGAGCAGCTGGCTTGACAGGTTTGTCTAGCAGAGCCCTGTCAACTGTTAGTTGAAAAGACAAGTAAATAAGATGATTGTTCATCTCTGAGGACATCCATTACAATTAACATGAGTTTAACATGCAAAGGGAGAAATACAAAAAGAATAAAATACACACAAAAGAATAAAACACAATGAAGAACAAAATAATTAAAATGTATTAATAAACAAGTGCTAAGAGTGTCAGTTGCTTACAGGTGTTCGAGTAAAGAGCTATAGCTATTGGCTACACCAGGTTTCTGGAATTACCAGTAGATTTTGTTTGATGATATAGTGTGAAGATAACCAACAATCGATTTATTCAGTTAGAGAAGGCAAGACCAGGAAGACATTTCAACACCAACAAAAGAATCTTAAAATCAATTTTTAAAAAAAGATATGGGGAGTCAATTAAGGCATTTGTTCTACTGTCTAGTCTGCCATATGAAGAAAAAAAATGTCAAAACCTTTTTCTTCTGTAAATTGTTTTAAAGCAACTCGATTTCAAGTGTTTAAAAAAAAACAACCTGTGATGTTTATATCTGTCATCAAATAAGCATTTACCAACGATTCAAGAACTATACATCCCTAATTACAATTCAATTATAACTAAAAGCTACAAAAACCTGTCTGATCAGAACTCCACATAATTTTAGGGTATCCAGGAGATTATATGCGCTACTTCCTACTGACACAAACTACCTAGAAAATCCACTCAATCCAGGATTTTACTTTCAAAGTTTTTTTTTTGGCACTGAAGTATTCTCCTAAAACACACAGCATAACCTAGAAAAGCCAAGCTAGCATGTAAAACATCTCGCCATCTGTATAAACCTCATTTATTTTTGTCAACCCATGTAACTTGTGCCTCTCCTGACCCTTTTGTGGATCAAGACCTCGTCATGGTGAAGGGGCTTATGTACTTCAGTGAACCTCAGGACTATGTCACCAGGAGCTTGATGCTTCCAGTAGGGTTACCCTTGGTGAACAAATATGAGGTGAGAGGTCAGACAAAGAGCCTCAAGACCCCGATGAAAGGTACAAAAATGTGTACCTTGCCTGAATTAGGGTTACTGGGACCCAAACCTGAAGCCAGGCCTGGGAGAAGCATCTACAGACAAGTGCCTGGTGGCCAGGCCACGCACATAACCTGGTCAGACTCAGCCCAAAATGGCGATGTGGAGCCATCTTGTGGGTTGACCACCTGCAAGATGAAGGGTGGGGGTCAGACGCAATGCCAGTTGGGTAGCAGACAGTCTCAGATGGACTAGACCTTTGCAATGGCAGCTGGCTTTGTGAATGAAGAATGTCAGTTCACTAGTGGAGAAAGAGCCTGAATGTGTGGGATGAAAAGGTATAGACTAGATAAGACCTTACATCCAAGTGGTTCTCTCCTACTCTGGAGTTACCACAAGAGATAAGCCTCAAGTGGGTATGGGGATACTCACTAGTCTCAGGTTGAAGGATTTGCAGTCAAGCTTTCCCCAAGAGGGTTGCTTCTATGAGATTTCAAGTCTCAGAAAGCAAATATTCTGTCTGTTCTTTTTGCATATGCATCAAATAGCAGTTCAGAGTATTCAGACTTCAAGGTGAACCAGGTGCTTGAGAGGTTACCTCCTACTGACTCCATTGTGCTACTGGGGGACTTCCTCCAAATCACTCTGGGGGACCATCCAGCATGAGATGGAGATACTTAGAGGTTAGTGATTTGGAGGAATAGCTTTGCAGATCTAAACTTGTGCAGTGAAATGTTACTAGAATTCTATGCAAACCACAGACTATAACACGTGTACACATTAACAAGTGTCAATAACACTTTGTTCAAACACAAGGCTGCTCATAAGTGTACCTGGTACCAGATCACCTTAGGTCAATAACCAATTTTGTGATTGTAATAGCAGACTTGAGGCCATATGTTTTGAACACTCGGGTAAAGAGGTAGGGGGTAGAGCTGTCAACTGATCAACAGCCAGATTTACTACAGGGGTGGATGAGATCCATCTGGAGATGTTGAAGGCCCTGGATAAAGTTTGGGTTTGTATGGTTGTCATGCCTCTTCAATGTTCTATGGAGATCTGGGGCAGTGCCTTTGGACTGGCAAACTGAGATGGTAGTGCTATTTTTTTTTTTTTTTTTAAAGTAGACCAGAGGTTGTTTTCCAGTTAGGCTTAGATATTGATTTTTCCCTGCTTGTGATTTTTTTATTTGGAAAATATCATGATAAATTATGTAAATGTCCAGAACTGATGGCCTCAAAAGACTTTGTTAAAAAAAGGCCTACAAAACATTTCCACCATTTCAGTTTTCCAAAACAGAGTTCAGGAATGCGTAATAATATTGCCAGCTGTGCAGTCAGGAACTGTGGCAAAAGTGAAAACTCAGGTGGATGATGGATTTTTAGGTCATTCTTCAGTAATGTGTAACAGTAAAAAAAAAAAAACACACACAAACAAAAGTACAAAAAAAAAGGCTGTTCATGAGCTGTGGGTAGTGACTGAAAGAATAAGGTTGGTGAGTACACGCAGCAGAAATGAGGTTGCTCCATAGGGTTGCTGGCCTTGCTCTATGTGACTGGGTGACGAGCTTAATGACCAGGACAGCTTAGGAGCAGAGCTGCTGCTCCTACGAATCAAAAGTAGCCAGTTGAGGTGGTTTGGGCACCTTCCTCCTCAGCTCCTGCCAGAGCTGCATCAGGAATGTCTCATTGACCCAGCACCCGAGAGAAATTATAACCCACAGCTCGCTTGGGAACATTTGGGGATTCACCCAGAGGAACTGCAATCTGTGGCTGGGGATAGAGAAGTGTAGGCTAAATTCTCAGCCTGCCATCATGTAATTACTTTCTCTGTCCATTCAAATTAATAAGTAATACTATAAGACTATCTAGATACAACCTGCATTCAAGTCCACAGCATTTTGAAATGCTGGTATTGTTACAATGCTTTGTTTCTTACCAACTAACTTTGGTCTAGTGTACTGAACCTGTAATGTTTAAAGCCTTGAGCTTTCAGAAATACCTTGGGTAGTCATACATTTCAGTAACAAAAGCTAAAAGAGACTTTTCATTACAGTAAATTACAGCAGAAATCTTCAGTAGTATTTTAAATAAATGCTCCTCATTCTAACATACTTGTCTTACCATGCCACTCTGATGGTAAAAAGAACTTGAGTGCCAGATGGGCTGCCCTCAGTTCTAGGACGTTGAGGTTTTGTGATCGTACCCCAGGGACCATTCTGCTCCCCAGACAGTAAGGGAGGCCTCCCTTACTATCTCTCTCAAATCGGGCACTGCCCCAGGCAGACCCCTTCCAGGGCTCATGGGGTCCAGCCACGGGCTTATAACCCACTTATGAAAAGCTCTTAGCTCCAGAAACCCAAGCAAAACTACCTCTGTAGTTGCTGTCATGAGCCCCAGCATCTTCTACAGAAACTGGTACCACACAGAGCTGCTTGGCTTAATCTGTCTGGCAAGCACAATAATGAGTACCACACATGGGGGGGGACAGGGTGGCTAGCATCCTCAGTGAATCTAGCATCATGTCAATGAATTGTGTGGCCTGCTTCAGAGCTCTTTTTCTGACTTGCCATGAGGTCAAACCCTGTAATGTACATGAAGAAGTTGGATGGGCCCCAAATGGCCTCCTGCTTCTTGGAGACAAATAGTTGTTCATGTACATCAGTATTCTGATGCCACATGCCATCAGCGAAGACATGGACAATGGCAAATATCATGAAAACCCCTGTGGCTGTAGACTTCTGCATTAGAATGCCTACCTTTGTAATGCAAACTTCAGAAGGTTTTGTCTCCACTGCTGCGAACCCGCATGAACTGAACAACTTTGGCATATGAAAAAGGAATGGTCTTTAAAAACCAGTTTAACTCTCTCAAAGCTAAAATTTGCACAAGAGCTGCTTCTGAACAAAGAAATAAATTAGACAAAGAAAGTAGAACCTCTTATTTTGAGCTGCTCTGTCTAGTGTTTTCACTCACATCTTTGAGAAAACAAAGAAGGTTGAGAGCCGGCAGTGGATTGTACCCACTGATTTGAGTCACCCCATATCTTGACCTAGGTGTCCCACCGCTAATAGTCAATGAGCTCCCTCAAAGAGGGATCAACTTAGATTGGCGTGATTGCCACATGCACTGATATTAGAAAATAAGTGTATTAGAACATAGCTGGTGTCTGGCTGGCTACAAAAGGATTCAGACACCAGCTGCACAAGCATCTTACATCATGGCTCTATACGACTACTCAGTGGTGGCATTGTTCTCTTGGATGCTCCTGTAAGGGGTCGCCATAGCGGATCATTGGTCTGCATGTTTGATTTGGCACAGGTTTTACACCGGATGCCCTTACTGACACAACCCTCCCATTTTATCTGGGCTTGGGACCGGCATTGAGAGTACACTCTCAGTGGCTGGGTTGGTTCCCTGCCCAAGAATCGAACACAGGCCACAGCGGTGAGAGCGCGTTATCTTTAGCCGCTAGACTACTAGGGACCAGATACAACTCACTGTAAAGTGAAAAAGTGAAATGGCTAAACTTTACCCAAAGTAAA